TGCAACGACGCGGGATCGGGTAGGTGGTTTAGTAGAGGCGCGCGAGCGAGCAACGAAAGGAGATAAGTCGAGGCGAAGTTACCAGGACGAGCGCGAAGCCGAAGAGAAATGCGAAAAGAGAAGAAGACGAAGAAGAAGAAGAAGAAGAAGAAGAAGAAGAAGAAGAAGAAGAAGAAGAAGAAGTGGAAGAGGAGGGAGACAAGTACGAGGCAGAATGAGAAAGAGGAGGGAGGAAGAAAGAAGCAAAGAAAGACGCGCTCTCTCTGGCGTGGGGGTGCGCCCACGCCAGTGACGTCACCCGGCGAACGTTGGCAGTGTTACCGGCGATGAACGCGTTGGTGTTCAAACCTCCGCGAGAGGAAACAGGAGGGAAGACCAGAAGGGAGAGAAAGAGAGACTACGTAGCGCGCGCGTCGAGGAAGGGAATCATCGCGCGAGAGGAGCAAGAGGAACACACAGGAGGAGACGGTGTACGAATAAGCGAGACAAGGTTAGAGGCAAGACGAAGAGTAGGAGAAGGAAGGAAGAAGCACGCGAGGAGACGAGTCGAAGCGGGAGGATCACGAGTGGAAGAAGAACGGACGAAGAGGAGAGAGATGAAGGTTGGCGTGCTGTCGCGATGAAGAGGGGCGGCGGTGAGGCGGGAACAAGGGCGGGGGAAAGGAATGAATGGAAATCGCGGAGAGACACGCGGGAGAGACGGATGATTCGAAAGGAGCGGAGGAGACGAAGACGGTGCGCGTTGCCGTGTGCGTTTTAAAGAGAGGAGTAAAAAAAGAAACGTCTCGGACGAGGAGAGGAGGCGACGGACGAGGATCAGGGCGTCTCGAGGAAGAAGGAAAGGAGGGGAGGCCGGCGTATAGGTGAGGAGCGTGTACAGTATCTACGGGAGGAAGGGAGAACCGACTCGGTGTGGAAGAAGAGGAGGAGAAGAGGACGGACAGAGCGAGAAAGAGCAGGATCCACCAGTGATACGATACCGGGCAGCACGCGCGCCGGTACGTCGGTTTATCGGGCGCGAACTACGAGCGAACCTTTGACTTCCGACCGAAGCGCGGAATCGAGAACGCTCCAGTGTCAAAGTCGTCCTGTTACTCCATCGAGGCAACAGTTTCTATTGGATTTCTACGAAAACGTCGACGGATCGATTACGACACTGGGTCGACCGGATCCACCGTAGTACGTTGGACGCTTACGAAGTTTGCGAGTTTCGGATAAAGTTTTGGGCAACCAGCATCTCTGTCGCGGAAAGATTTCTCCGACGCTTTCTTCTCCTCCTGATTAACAGGGAGAAATTTGATCCACCAGTGCCGCGCTTTCTACCTGTCGTTCGAGTGGCCAAAGGAACAAAAAAAGAAAAAAAGTATCTTTCGACGATTCCGTTGGAACACCGGCCGCGTGAAAATCTCTCTTTATCCGTTGTCCCCGAGAGTGGAAACGCAAACATCTCGAGCGGTGGCTGTCCGCTGGCCTGTCCAAACGCTTCCGCGAGTGTCCTGTTCGTCGAACGAGGAACTGATCGATCGCGTCAGTGATTTCGTTGACGTTTCTCTAACGGCGACTTCCTGCGGCCGGTTGTCGCGTCGAATCGCTCCGTT